GTTCGAGGCCAGCCTGGGCTACCAAGTGAGCTCCAGGAAAGGCGCAAAGCTACACAGAGAAACCCTGTCTCGAAAATCCAAAAAAAAAAAAAAAATGTTTTAATGACATAAGTCTTTTCATGACAGTGAGACAGTTCTGCTCCTGGCAGCACCAATTTATTTCAAAAAAGGATGATGGGCATCAATGAACCTCCATATGGAGTTTGATTTGTGTGTGACAAAAGCTAGCCATTTGGGAAAGAAACTGCCCTTGCCTCGACTGCTAACAGTACGTTGTCCAAACTGGACAAACAGGACATGAAAGAAAGAGAATGCTGACCTTTTTCCAAGACTGGATTGACAGTCCTTCAAAAATTCCTGCTTCACAGAGAAGTCCATCAGATACTCTAGACCTGTAGGCTCAAGATGAATGGCCCAACATTCCATAGAGGGAACTTGGCTGAGTGTATAGGTAGTGAGCTGTTTCTGTCATTTCTATAGTTTGGTATTTGTTTGCTCTGTAATTCCTAGTTCCTTAAGTAATAGTATATCCTTTTTGAGTCTCTGATAGAGTTGAAGAAGAAATAGTTATAGTTTTCTTTGTTACCAAATTTAAAAAAATGCACAAAAGAGGTATAAAATGTATAAGGTTGAGAGATATAAAAGCTTCAATTATTTATCTAAGAAAATTTTTTGAGATCTAAAAAGATAATTTTAGGATGATAATATAAGTTATGATAAAAATGGTTTAGGCATAAAACTTTAAATTCATCAAGATAAGGTAGATAATAGAGCATTTTCTCTAAATATGTCAACTACAAATGGACTGAACATTGTGAATGTAATTCTTACCTGATAATTGTTCTCATTGTTTATAGTTTTATTTTGTTAGAGTTAAAACCTTTCCTTTTTATTTTGACAAAAGGAGGAAATGTTGCAGAATAATCCTATAACACTGTGTAAAGATGTGTCACTGCGATTGGTTTATTGAATGGCCAGTAGGTACGCAGGAGGAACTTCTGGAAACAGAGAACACAGAGAGGAAGAAAGGGGGAAATCACCAAGTGAATTCTGTAAGAACTTAACCCCCAAAGCCATTCATTTCCTTGCTGTGGAATAATGCTTTCGTACACTGTAAATTTGTCACTCAAATTGGTTTCATAAAATGCTGATTGGCCAGTAGCTGGGCAGGAAGTATACGTGGGGCAACCCAACTAAGGATGATGGGAAGGAGAAGGGTGGAGTCAGGAGTAACCAATTAGACACAGAGGGAGCAGGAGATGAACATGCCATGCTAATAAAGGTACTGCCATGTGGCAAAACATAGACAGAAATATGGGTGTAGCCAGATAAATTGCCCCTGCCCTCCTGTTCCCGAATAACCAGTCAGAGGATTAATATTAATTAAAGACTGTTTGGTTTATGGGTTAACTTAAAATATAAGAGCTATTTAGTAATAATCCTGAGCTATCTGTGAGAATTTACAAGGAGTATTAAGCCTGTGAGTGATTATTTGGGACTGGGCAGTTGGGACAGGAAATATCCATTTACATTTTCAGGGTACAAGTGAAAGATGATAAAAATCTGTTTTTACAGAAACTAAAATGTTGCAGGAATCAGAGTAGCCTGCCCAGCAGAACTGATTTTGAAAATAAATATAGGTCTTTATATCCAGGTCATAATATATTTCATCTATTTGAAACATCAATCTACATTCAGTGTATCTAATTCTAATAGTAGCCAATATTATTATTGAATGGGGAATATTGTTCTCATTCTTCCCAAAAGAGGGCTTCTTCTTTGGTCTTACTGACTACTCATTGGAATTATTGCATATCTATATTTTTACAGTGCATGTGGCCCATTCTTTACTTGGAAGACACATCACATCAGAACACATGAATAGTATGCAACAGGGTCTCAGGAGCTGCAGGTTAATGTGAGTCTATGTTCTATGTATTGGTCATTCCAAAATGCCCCAGATAGCAGTCTGTCAGGTGCACAAAGGTCGCTTTGAGGGTTATAGATAGAGAACTGTGAGAGCTAATCCTCAGTCTGCCCCTTGAACTTAACCATATTCAAATAGTTCTGCAAAGCAATTGAATCCAATGGGGTAACTCAATATAAAACAGAGACCTAATCATCTTCACAGAGAACTAAGAAACACATGGGTACAATGGTAATAATTGCTCACATTATGTTATCATAAATGACAATGTTTTTTTGCTTAGACATTATCTTTGGAGGTCCTTCCCTACTCCACACACTGTCCTATCAATATATCCCTGGGAAAGTAGAATAAATCTTCTGGTTTAGTACAACTCAGAAATGAAATCCAAGAACTTGTCGTAATGGTAGTGATTGATCTCCTACACTATTAAGCAGGACAGGTTCTGACATCAAGATCAGAAGTTCAGAATAGGCTGAATCAAGAATGAACAAATGCCGGGAGTGGTGAAGCCCAGTCCAGCCCAGGGAAGGCCTCATAGTGATAGCCTGGGGAGAAACAGAGACAGAGATATAGAAGAAGACAGAGACAGGGAAAAACAGAGAGCACAAACATGAAAGACAGTGTCCTGAACCCCCTCTAATCTAGGTTGATGGAGCAATTTTGAGCGATTAAAAACACATCCAGAATCAAGGCATTTTAAATAAGGAAATACCTTAAAATGATAAGAAATTTGAGAAATAACTGAGATTATATTAATATTGACAAAATTCAGGCTTTTAGAGAATAATACTTTTATTGTCTAGCTTGAACAGAAATCACAAAGAACATGCTAAGGAAAAAGCTGTGTTTAAAAACAGATTGTTAGGTGGGGTGCAAATGACATACATTTTAATGACTATCTCATAAACCAGATTGCTGTATAATTTATCACAGAATATATTTTCAAATATACACATACACAGATATAACTTTAAACAGGTGACCTGATTCAAGTTTGTTTGTTTTGTAGGCATTTCCAGAGATGGCTCAGTGGATAAAAGACTTGCTGTTTAAGCATAAGGACTGAAGTTCATCCCTCAGAACCTATCACCCATATAAAAACTGTTCATCCCATCTTAGCACAAGGAACCTAGAGTCAGGAATTGATTCCCCAAGGCTGAGACTGATACCCATAGTGAGCTCTGCATTCAAGTGAGAGGTTGAGACTCAATATATAAGCTGGAGAAAAATTGCAGAAGATGTCTGATGCCAATCTCTGGTCTTTAAGCATGTACTCACACATGTGCATAGGCACCTTCAGTTAAACGTGTGAGCAGGAATGTAAACACATCATTCATACACACACACAGACACACACATGCACACGCACATGCACACACACACATGCATGTGTGCACATGTGAGTGTTCGCATGTGTGCTTGTGTGGTATACCAATCAGAATAATTCTAAGAACCTCATTTGTAATATTTCATATGTTGACCATCACCATAAACTTAATCTCCCCACATATGGAAATCTTGCCCATGTAATCATTCACTGGAAGGTACACTTGGCCCATGTGTGCTTCTGATTCACTTCACACATTCACAAACCTAATTCCTCACATTTAACCAAAAAAATGAATCTGATTCAAACTAAATTAAGAAAATGAGCTTTTACTCATTTTCTTCAGCATTGCTGTAAGTGATCCAAAAGAAAGAGAGAACTCTATGCTTTTCCTTCAGAAAAATGAGACTGCTCCATTTCTCCAACTAAGTCCTACTCTTATTGTACTTACTTTGGTTTTACCTAGATTTGAAATGACTGATGAGCAACCAGATTGTTTCTCCTATACTAGTAAGACCACTGCCCATGGCACACTGCCTGAGAAGGCTTTGGAATCACAGATACAAAAGGAGGCTTTATTTCTTGTGGATTTTTTCTCTCCTATAAACAACTGTAAGTGATAGTGGAGTTAGTGTGAGCTTGGGCAACATTTTTCACTCAAATCGAATTTTCTCTCCCATAATTTGACCTGGGAAAAAACAATAGTGATGGAAATTCTACCAAGACAGATTAATTCAGAGGTCAAGAAATTACAGAGCAGGACAGGAGAAGTTAATGAATCTTTACCATGTGAAGCAAGGTGCAGAAGGTCTTTGGAGAGGCCATGAGCCTGGTGGGGAAGTCATGGGTGGTTTGTTAATGACATGAGAGTTTTGAAATTGAATTCATCTTGAAGACTCAGCTGCTTGGGACAAATCATTTGTAAGGCAATTTTGCTATTAATATTTTCATCCTGTTTTATTCTATTGATAAACAATATACTTTTTTATCACAATAATTTTAAATTTAAAATGAATACCTAGTAACTGCATTCATTCATCTAATTTCACCCATCAAGGCAGCCTTCGGTTTTCTTCCTTTTTCCATCTGAATAGCTAATAGGATTCTGAGCTAGACAGCTGGAGACTTAGAGCAACCAAATATTGGTGGTTCATACTGGAGTATGGTCTTGCTTTAGTTATTTGGGCAACCACTTGTCTATTATTTATTTATTTTAATAACGTACTCTCCTGCCTGTAGTACACAGGGTCTCATCAGCTTTATCTCTCTACTTAGTGTTGTAGCAGAAATATCAGAGTGGAGATCATAATGGGAACCCCACATTTACTGGTCTGACTGTGAGAACCAGTAAAATAAACAGTAGAACAAAGACTCTGCAAGCCTTTTTCTTACTGGAGCACAAGGATGTTTTGTGTTACTATGAGAATAAAGCTTTTTATAATTCTTTGAATTGTCCACCCAATATAAAAAAGCTGACTTGCACACATGGTTATTTGGAGGCAGCTGATGTAATTCCTTTCTCACCTTCTGTCTTCAAAATTTCCAATGAACATTTCTGAAGGACCAAGATACCTTATGCCTCGGTGTCATTTTCTTGTATTCCTGACCAGTGCTTTGAACTAAGTTTTTGGTGCTCATTTATTTTGCATGGGTAGAGACCTCTGTCTAACACTGCTCATACACGTTACACATCAAGCATATGGTTGGCCTAAAGCAAATCAGATGAGATTTGGGGAAAACACCTAGCTCTACCTCCAAACTTTCCACTGTATATAAAGGAACAGGAGTGGCAGAGCAGAAGTGATAGTCTTACCACCTGAAAAATCACGGTCAGAAGGTCATACAATGTTATCCTTTCAAAGTTTATTAACTTCAGACACACAGACCAATGACATTAATTGGCCTATCCAAAGCTACAGTCCTGTTCTCAGCATCCTAAGTGTGTGTAAGGTTTTGTTGGGAGTTTGTTGTTTGGCTTTCCTTAAAAACATCTTAAGCTCACTCTTTTCATTTCCCTTTTTCTTTTTTGCGTGGTATTGTCATAGTTTGGTCACTCTGCTGCAGTTGAATTGTTTCTTTATGTAACATTCTTTCTTGCCGGTGTCCCCATTATCCCTGCCTTGCAGGTTCCTGCATCTTTTACTGGTGCTTTCCTTTGATCCTCTAGAGGGGCCCTGGCTGCTTCATTGTCAGTGAAGAAAAACTGAAAACATCGCCCGTGCAAGTTGTCAAGCCCTGGGTTTACCTCACAAAGTCCCCAAGTGGAGCTACTTACAGACAAGATGTGGCATGTTTCAGTTATCCCTTAGTTCCCAGCCCATCTTCATAAGAAGGTAATTTACGTAATGACATTTAATGTAGACTTTGACAGGTAAAAGTTTCAATGTCTGCAGCCCAGTTTACAAGGAGACAGGAAGATAACTTTTACTGATTTAAAAATGTATGTGTTTAAAGTTTTTAGTAGAGTTCTGGGTTTAGGGAGATTTCAGAATTGTGATCTGTGAATATCTTTATTGTCACAATAACAAGTAAGGGTCTGGTACAAGGCTCTTTCTGGATAATCTTGAGAATGAAGTACCATGGGTCCTTGAGTTTAAATACAAATTTCATTTTATCAACTAACTCATGGACAACCCCTAAAGCAAGAGATTTACTTTGCCTTAATTTTGGTTTCATATCTTTAAAATGTTGAAAAATTGCATCTTAAATGACTCTTTAGCCTTGATATGAGGGCTTTCTCCATGTCTTATTGTATCTTATTTTGTCCTGTCTGGCTGTTTTCTCTCGGAGACTTCATCTTTTTGAAGAGAAAATGAAGAAGGAGTGGATCTAGGGGAGAGGGAAGTGGGAGAGGAAGCTAGGGAGAATGGAGGGAGGGGAAAAAACTGTGGTTGGGATGCATGGTATGAGCAAAGAGTCCATTTTCAATTAAAAAAGAAGAAATTAAACATACTACCACTCTAGTACTCATGAACAAATGAAAATACTTTCTTCAGTCATTTTGTAGTTGTTGCTGTTATTGGATAGCAGTAGAGAATTTGAACAAATTCAGAGCTTTGGAGCTAGGATTTAAATTTTTATTTATTTTTTCCTTAAATGGTCTCTGATGAATGAAATCACTAGATTGAATTTTAAATAACAAATTTATCATTTGAACATTAAAATCTCATGTTACTTCCATTAATAAAAAAATCTATACTAAGAATCTTCAAAACAAATAGAACAAACTATTGTTGATTAACTTTTTTATTAATTTTTAAATTTATTTTATATACAAACCACAGTTTTGACTCCCTCATCTCTTCTTGTTCTCGCCCTCACCTTCCTTCCATTCCCCCAACCACCACCCCCATCCTCTCCTCCTCCATCTCTATTCAGAAAGGAAAAAGCCTCCCATGGGAATCAACAAAGAATTATGTATGAAGTTGAGGCAGGAACAAGCTCCTCCCCTCTACATCAAGGCTTAACATAGTATCCCACCATAGGGAATAGGCTCTAAAAAGCCAGCTCATATGCCAGGGACAGGTCCTGGTCCCATTTCTAGGGGCCCCAAAGACAGACCCAGCTACACAACTGTCATCCACATGCAGAGGGTCTAGGTTGATCCCATGTAGGCTAGCTATTGTTTTAGTGTCTGAGAGCTCCCACACACTCAGGTCAGCTGTCTCTATTGTGGTGGTAATCTAATTGTCAGCTGTCTCTATTGTGGTGGTAATCTATTGATGGGGATTTCCCCATCATAATCTTGACACCCCTCCTTGCTCATATAATTCCACTTCCCTCTTTTCACCTGGACTCCTGGAGTTTTTAGCCCAGTGCTTGGCTGTGGATTTCTGCATTTGCATCCATCAGTTACTAGATGAAGGTTCTATGATGACAATTAGGGTAGTCACCAATCTGATTACAGGAGAAGGGCAGTTCAGGCACCCTCTCTTACTATTGCTAGGGGTCTTAGTTGGGGGTCATCCTTGTGAATTCCTGGGAATTTCTCTAGCACCAAGTTTCTCCCTAACCATATAATGGCTCCCTCTATCAAGATATCTCTTTCATTGCTCTCCCTCTCCATCCTTCCCTCAACTCAACTATCCTATTCCTTCATGTTCCCATCCCTCATTCCCTTCCCCTATCTCCCCCTCTCCCAGTTTACCCAGGAGATCTCATCTATTTGCTTTTCCCAGGGTAATCCATGCATTTCTCTTAGGGGCCTCCTTGTTACCTAGCTTCTCTGGAGCTCTGAATAGTAGCTTGATTATCATTTGCTTTATATCTAATATCCATTTGTAAGAGTATATACCGTGTTTGTTCTTCTGGATCTAGGTTACTTCACTCAGGATGATTTTTTTTTCTACCTTTCCATTCATTTGCCTGCAAATTTCATGATGTTATTGTTTTTCACTGCTGAGTAATACTCCATTGTGTAAATGCACCACATTTTCTTTATCCATTCTTCAGGTGAGGGGTATCTAGGTTGTTTCCACATTCTGGCTATTACAGATAATATTGCTATGAACATAGCTGAACAAGTGTCCTTGTGGTATGATTGAGTATCCTTTGGGTATGTGCCTCAGAATGGTATTGCTGGGTCTTGACGTAGATTGATTCCCAATTTTCTGAGAAACTGCTATACTGATTGACAAAGTGGTTGTACAAGTATTCACTCCCACCAGCCATGGAGGAGTGTTCCCCTTACTTTACATCCTCTCCAACATAAGCTGTCATTAACATTTTTGATCTGAGCCATTCTGACAGGTGTAAGATGGTATCTCAGAATCATTTTGATTTGCATTTCCCTGATAGTTAAGGATGTTGAACAAATCTTTAAGTATATCTTGTCCACTTGAGATTCTTCTGTTGAGAATTCTCTGTTTAAATCTGTACCTCATCTTTTAATTGGATTATTTGGTATTTTGATATCTAGCTTCTCGAGTTCTTTATATATTTTGGAGATTAGCTTTCTGTCACATGTGGGGTTGGTGAAGATTGTTTCCCATTCTGTAGGCTGCCATTTTGTCTTATTGACTGTTGTCCTTTGTCTTACAGAAGATTTTCAGTTTCAGGAGGTCTCATTCACTAATTGTTGATCTCAGTGTCTGTGCTACTAGTGTTATTTCAGGAAGTAGTCTCTTGCACCAATGCATTCAAGAGTACTTCCCATGTTTTATTTTATCAGGTTTAGTGGCTGCCATCCAGTTATGCCAGCACCATTTGTTGGAGAAGCTTTCTTCTTTCCATTGTATATTTTTGGCTTCTTTGTCAAAAATCAGGTATTCATAGGTGTGTGGATTTATGTCAGTCTTTGATTATATTTCCTCAATCAATGTGTTTGTTTTTATGCCAATGCCATGCTGTTTTTATTACTATAGCTCTACAGTAGAGCTTGAAGTCAGTGATGATGATACCTCCAGAAGTTACTTTGTTATACAAGATTGTTTTAGCTATCCTGAGGTTTTTTTCCCCCACATGAAGTTGAGTATTGTTCTTTCAAGATCTGTGAAGAATTGTGTTGGGATTTTGATGGGGATTGCATTAAATCTGTAGATTGCTTTTGGTAAGATTGCCATTTGTACTATGTTAATCTTACCTATCTAAGAGGATGGGTCATCTTGCCATTTTCTGATATCTTCTTCAATTTCTTTCTTCAAAGACTTAAAGTTCTTGTCATACAGGTCTTTCACTTGTTTGGTTTGAGTTACCCCAAGATATTTTATATTATTTATAGCTATTATAAAGAGTGTTGTTTCTTCAGTTTCTTTCTCAGTCTGTTTATCATTTGTATATAGGTGGGCTACTGATTTATTTTTTTAGTTAATCTTATATCCTTCCACATTACCGAAAGTGTTTATCAGCTTCTTGTTTTAAGTCCCAGCAATATCCAGAAACAAATAATGTAAATGTTTATTTGTACAAGTGTGTGACTATTTAATATATTTGATGTTAGAACTCTTTAATGTGGCACTCAGTACTTTGTTTACTTATTGGAAAGTCCAGATTATATGTACACAAATTCAATAGTAATAAGATGAACAGTTCCTTTTCTTGTTCAATGCATTAAAATCCATCTACTGAGCAGAGGTTCCCTTTATTCTGGTTTTCCCTGGTCATAGAATAGAGCTAGGGCTGGAGAAGATAGACTTTCTGGGAGAAAACCAGTCATTTTTCACATCTTCTCTTCCACTGACTTGTGAGCTTTTGTGTGTGCAAAGGTACCTTTCTGAGTAAGCCAGTGTAACACTTTATTTCTACTGGCCAAATTTCCAATTTTGTTATTCATGTATCTCATTTCATTGGGATTTTTTTTCCTAACATCTTTGGACAGCACTTAGCAGCAAGTTAGACACAGTTAGCTTTGAATGTTGAAAGCTGAAAGGAGTTTATAATTCTTTAATTACTTTATAAAGGCTTCAGGTGAAGGCTGTCCACTGGGGTCTTATTTAACTCTCACTACAGGACTAACATTGAGATCCTGCTAATACATTTTTCTTCAGTGGGTGTTAGGGGTGATGAGGCTCATATGGCTGAGGGCTTCACTCAGTACCTCTCCTCTAAGGAGCAAATGTTTCTGTGTGAATGTACATGTGCCTCTTTCCAGAACATGTTATATTTTATGCAAAAATATAAATATTGCCCAGAACTGATTAACAATTGAATTCTTCCTTTTCAGAAATACTAAAGAAAAGCTCCTCAGATAAAGCTTTGAAAGTTGGAATTTACTCAGTGTGTGTTGTCTCAAAAGCTGTTCATTTCTGGAAAGCTGGGGGATAAATGAGTTACCTCATTCCAACACCTAGGCACTGGTAATCCCCAACTCATATCAGTCTTTAGGGACTTTTCTTCTTAAAAGAATTTGAATCCCTGTTTCTAAATATCATATTTTATTGAGTGTCAAATAGCAACATATTTTGATTCAAAAGTGCTACCTAACTCATAAATCAAACTATTTTTGAACAAAATCTTCCCCAAATCTAAACAGCTCCTAAATTCATCTTGCTTTCACTGAGATTCAAGTCCATTAGGCACAAGAGAAGATAGACCATCCCACTAATGTGTTCCTGGGTTTTGCTGAGAATATCCCATCTCTGCAGAGGGGATTGGCTGCCTCAGATAATTTTCCTAAATGGGATGTTATTGTTGTCTTAATTTTCACATGTTCTCCATTAAGAGGTTTGCTTTATTTACGAGAGTCATCTATGTGTTTTGCAATGGCTCCTACTTAGCTCCTAAGTACAAGCTGGTTGCACTTAAATATTGATTTAAGTCCATAAAGTCCTGATGGTTTGGGTGTTGTCTTCATTCACTAATTTTACTTTCTAGAAACTGAACTAAGAAACTTCAC